ACCATACATGTACCCGTAATCTGGAAGCCAGCCAGAAGGCACACTCGTCCCTTCAATTTGAAAATGTATGTTCAGAACGCTAGCGTAGGTGTTGGCGTCGGTGCGGGCGTTCGGGCGGGCGTTTGGTGCCGGTGTGTGAGCAAGCGTGTCTTTCGTGGAGCGTGCCCTGATCGACATCGCGGCGGGCACGGCGCAGACAGGCGGCAGCAAGCGCAAGGCATCTAGAACCGTCTGAGACACTCCGAGATCTGGGACGGCGAGTATGCGACAACCATGCGATCGTACAACCATCAAGGAAGCACCTGGCGTGTCTCAAGGGATTTGTTGACGGGCAGAACACTACGCAGTTTTGTTCGTTGTCACAAAAACGCGCACAGAGCAGCGTTTCTCCGTCCTCCCCCCCGCCGCGGGCACCGCGAATCGCCGCGCGGCCCGCGGGGGGGTGGAAGAGGGGGGCGCGCTCAGGTCCTCGTGCACTTCGTGTTCTGGGTCTTGGTTCCCTTCGTGACTTTCTCCCCGCGGTGGGGGGAGGGCAAACGTACCCCCGCGCACGACGCGCGGCGCAGGGGCGCGCAACGGCCTATCGCGAGGCCTGCGCGCTCCGCGCGCGCGCGTCGGCTTGCCGCACCCTTCGCCGCTCCTGTGGCTGGGGCGGGTTGCGGGGTGTCGCTGCACCCGCGCGCTCCCGCGGGGCGCGGCGACGCGAGCAAGTTGTCGCGCGCCCGCCCCGCGGGTGCGGGCCTACCCAATGTGCAGCGCTCCCCGCGCTCTCCCAACCCCCGCAAAGCTGTCTAGGGCAGCGTCTGTTGTGTGGCGCCCGTGGGCTGTCTCGGGCAACTCCTGGGCAACCCTGAGCCAATGTGGGAGCACGTGGACACCTTGGGAAGCACTGCAGCCGTGTTAAAGGCCCTCGCGGGACACCTGAGGGCGCGGCTGGACCGTCTTGGAGGCTGGAGGCCTCCCAGGGAACCGCTTCGGGCCAGCTTCGGTCGCACAGAATTCGTCCTGGGGCCATCGCGGGGTCCTTTTGGGCCGTCTGGAGGCCATCTTGAGAGCTCCTTGGGCTTTCAAGACGCGGAACTGGGGTCGCTCTCCTTCCCCCTGGTCCACGCAGCGGCAGAATGGTGGAAGCCACTATCACAGGGGATGGGGATCTTTCTGGGTGGCGGAAACCACTATCACAGGGGACAGGACAATTTCAAGTCGCTCGCCACCGTTGAGCCACAAGCCGGCTCGGTACAACACAGCAGCGGGTCGGGGAGAGCAGTATGGGGAAACGATCTGGGAGTATAGAATGTGCCCGAATACAGCGGCTTCAACCGACACAGCCTCACAAGCGTAACGGCAAATATGTAAGTGGAGTGTGATCAAGCCGCGGCACCTCGAGACTTCGGGAGGGTTCCAAGAGGGCCGTACATGAGATACAAATATAACACAAGCCGCTGCCTCGTCAAGGACTGTGTTGTCAAATTCGTCTTAAGGTCTAGGCTTCCTTGGGGTTCTCCTGGGAGCACCACAGGCTACCAGGAGAGCTCTCCAAGACGACCTCAGATAGCTCGAAGCGACCCCAAGGGAGCTCTGGGAGCAACCCAAAACCTCCAACAAGTTAACACAAATTTGACCAACGCCGTCCTGGACGAGGCTGCTGTTTGTGTAAACTTGTATTGAAGTGGGGCCTTCCTGGGGATCTCCTGAAACTTCCAAAAGCCCCCAAGAGATCTCGAGGAGACGGCCTGGGAAAGCCCGAGGGGGCGCCAAGGGAGCTCCAGGAGCGGCCCAAGAGCCCAAACAATTTAACATACATTTGATACAACGCCGTGCCTGATGAAGAAACGGCTTGTGTTAGATCTGTTCTACATTTGCTGCCATTTTCGGGTCGTCTTGGGCGCCTCATGGGCCGTCTTGCGGCGGTCTTCGGGGTCTCTTCGGACGTCGTGGAGCGATGAAACCTCGAACAATTGACGAACCCCAAAAAACATTGAAACGCCTATCAACAAGTCATGGAAACATCGAAAACCTCTTGGGGCCCTCTGAGGAGCGCTCGTCGAGTCCTCTTGGACCGTGTGGGAGCATCTTCGGACGGAAGGCTCGAATTATCGGTTCGGGTTCCTGCGCTCGGGCCCCTCTTGGGTCCGTCTTGGGGCGTCTTGGGCGCCTCTAGAGCCATTTTGGAGGCCTCTTGGGCCGTTTGGGGGCACTCTTGGGGGCCTCTTGGCTTGTTTTGGGGCGGTCTTGGGGGCCTCTTGGGACGTCGGGGCGCGCCGGAAGCAAGAACAGTCGAGAACCCCGAACGCACAGGACAACCTACAACAATCTACTGTTTTTGCCTCCTGGGGCCCTCTGGGGAGCGCTCGTCGCATCCTCTTGGGGCGTCTGGGGGCATCTTGGGACAGAAGGGTCGAGAAGTGGCTTCGGGCTCCCGCTCTTGGGCCTCTCTTGGGTCCGTCTCGAGGCCCTCCTGGGCCCTCTTGGGCCCACGTTGGTTACGTCTTGGAACCATCTTGATAGAGGAATGAGAACTATGCACATACACCGATCTTGAGCCGTCTTGGGGCCCTCCTGGGGGCCTCTTAAGCCTTCGTGGGGGCGCCGGAAGCTCGAGAGTCAAGAACCCCCCCCCAAAAAAAACACGGAACCACCTGAGTGAAATCAGTGGCTTTTGCCTCGTATGGCCCCCTGGGGAGCGCTCCTCGGGTTCTCTCGGGCCGTCTTGAAACTATCTGTGGGGCCGTCCGCAGCCACGCGGGACATCTGAAAGCCTTCAGGTCTCTTTGACGTCACTTCGGCCATCTGGGCCATTCTCGAGCCGCTCGACAGGGTCCCTGGGGAGCCTGGGGCGCCCATGGCGACCAGAGGCAGCTGGGACGCCCCCGACCCTGTACCCCGATGTGTATATATATATATATAGAGAGAGAGAGAGAGAGAGAGACAAAAAAAGAGAGAGAGAGAGAGAGAAAGGAACAAAAAAAGGCAGAGACAGAGCAATGGCCAATCATGTATTTCGTTTTTTGCGCAGCAAAAAACAAAAAGACCAATGGGTGCATTAAGACGGGCACCGCTGCACTGGCAGTCTCAGGCTCGTTTGGGCCCCCTGCGCTTTTAAGGAATAACGGCATGGCGTCTTCCACCTCCCCCTTCCACGCGTGTGTCACATTGCAACCAGACCGGCCACTTTACAACCAGATGGAGCACTTTACGACCAGAATGGGTTTTCCCAGAAGGGCACTTTACAACCAGGAAGACCACTTTATAACCAGGCGAGTAAACGCACATGAGCGACACATGCTCTTCAATTTCCAATCTCTCTGGGTTGTAAAGTCACCCGTCTGAAGCGAGAATATGTGAAGTGGCGGATTCATACTGGGATCCAACAAAAGTCCCATTGGAATCCTATTGGCACCCTTCCCACTGAGATCTTTTTGGCACCAGATGAATCCCATTAGTGGGCATCCAACAAGATTCCTCGATGTGGGGCCTACGGGTGTCCTATTTGAACAGGCTCCCAGGGGCGATGGGAGAAGGGAGAGGAGGAGGAGAGGGAAGGAGGGGCAAGGACGGGGCGAAGGAGAAGAGCGAGGGGGATCCAAACGCAAGCAAAACATGTTGCGCGAATGCGAAACTCGACCAGTCCTTGTCTCATGTCCCTCCTCCTCCTCAGCCCTCTCCGGGTGCAGGAGAAGGGGAAGGAGAAAGGAGGAAGGAGGAGGAGGGAAGGAGGAGGAAGAGGAGGAGGTGGGAGTAGAAGCAGGAAAGCCTTGCTATTTCTGAATGTTCCACAAATTCCATATAGCCCTTCATACGAAGGCTTGCTATTTCAATAAACTCCAGAAATTTACAGGTTGGTTTCAAAACAATGTGAAGGGCGAGGGGGTGGTGCCAGTCGGACACGGCTGATCGTTTGGAGAAGCTCTGGATTTATGGAAGTTGTAGAAAACAATACGTCGCATGAAATGTGTTATGGAATTGTATGGGATTATAGAATTAGCTAGGTTGTCCTGCTTCCCATAGAATCGACCAGCGTTTCAATGAGATGATTCTTGCGAGCGCACTGGGGAGGACGAACTGAATTGATGAAGCGCTCTCCGACGCCAAGTTGGGAAACGCCCAGAACCGCCCAGTCGCCCAGTGTGGCTTAGATGTATATGCACATAATGTACACTAAGATGTCGAACCTTGACAAGATGTGGATTAAGATGGCGTCGCTTGAGATGGCATATATCATGCTGATGTATCTCAAGATGGTGTAGATCATGTACTTAGGAGGGGGTGCACAAGGGGCTGCCTCCAACATAAATATATATACATATATACATACATACAGGCATACATACATATACATATACATATACATATACGTATACATATACATATACATATACATATACATATACATATACTTATACATATACCTATACATACACAAACACATATAGCTATATATGTATAAATACATGCATACATACACACATACATGCATACATACACACACATACATACATACATACATACATACATACATACATACATACATACATACATACACACGTACGTACGTACGTACGTACATACATACATACATCTACATGTGCACACATATGTGTGTATATACACACTTATATATATATATATATGTGTGTGCATACACATATATATATATATATATGTATATACATATATGTGGTATGATCCTCCTTATCTACATGTGCACACATATGTGTGTATATACACACTTATATATATGTGTGTACATTCACATATA